TGCATCAAAAAATGTAGCAATAAAATTTGCAGACGATATTACTAATGTTTAAATGAGTGTACTGCTAAAAGGTCAACCACACGTTTTGATAACAATACTTTTATAACGTCAGTGATTACAACCCGTCGCTCACGTGTCCGTCGCTTCTGATAATACAATTCTTATTGTTTTAGCCAAAAATTCTACGTGACACGCCATGAGGCATTTCGTAATCGTCTGAGGTGTAATCGTAGTGGATAAAATCAGAAACCTGAGGAGTACCGATAAAGATAAGCGAATGCAATAAAAAATAATAGGTAAAACAATGAATGCTTTACCTTCTAATAATAATTATGAAGACTTCCCTCCTTTTGCAAAAAACCGTTATTTTGAACACACACCGTCTTTTCCGTAAGTTTTTTAATATACCTAACCTGCAGCACTTGGCTTCGGCCCGTGCCTATTTTAACCGCACTTAATGGGAGAAATGCTAAATGCTTAACAGAATAATAAAAAACTTTTAGCAGTAACAATTTGTTGCACACAATTTACAATTTAAACGAAGATAGCTACAAAAGTAAAAATCTGTAGCGCAGTTATCAAAAATCCTTAGGTTAAGCTATTTCGCGATCCGGTTGGTATTGTTGCAAGCAAAATGATGCAATGCAGCCTTGCTCGGAACCGGGCACGCTACTATAGCAGCGGTAAGACCCCTCTTTGAGGAGTGGCTTGAGAGACGCCACGGCGTCCTCACCTTCCGCCTGACGCAGGTGCTTACCGGGCACGGCAGCTTTGGTAGGTTCCTGTTTCGGATCCAGCGGGAGGAAACGTCCGAGTGTCGTCATTGTGAGGATCACCTGGAGGACACGGTGAAGCATACGGTGGCGGAGTGCCCTGCTTGGGCTGAGCACCGCCGTTTTCTCAGGGAAGTGATCGGCGGCGGCGACCTCTCGCGCCCGGCCTTAATCGAGGCCATGGTGCAGCGGAGAGGAACTGGGAAGCTATCTCCTCCTTCTGCGAAGCAGTTATGCTCGCAAAGGAGGAGGCGGAGCGCGTGAGGGAACTATCCTCCTCGCGCCCCAGCCGCCGCAGAAGGCGACATTCCGGACGTCGGGGATCGAGAGATGATCTCCGGCCACCGTAAGCGCGGGTCTGCGGACGGCGAGTAAGGGTAGCTCGCCGCCCGACCAGAACCGGACCCGAGCGTACGGCGCGTAGCGTTCCGCGCGCGCCTCAAAGAGCCAATAGACCACCACAGTCGGCCAGTTGCCAAGTCACAGAAGATATGAATGAATGTGCACTCCTCATAAACGAGCCAGGGACAAAGTTTTAAATAGAGTCCATAAGACAGTGGAATCTAGATGGGTTGCAGGTGTAAGCGCAACAATCACAATAGTCTGGGTGTTAATAATGACAATGATAATGTGAACTATATTATAACAGGACTCCGATTTATGGAAACCAATTAAAACCTAATTCTTCTCGATGGAATACCAGACCCGTCCTGGTTGGAATGTCAGACTATTGTGATTGTTGCGCTTACACCTGCAACCCATCTAAATTCCACTTTCGAATGGACTCTATTTAATACTTTGTCCCTGGCTCGTTTATGAAGAGTGCACATTCATTCATATCTTCTGTGACTCGGCAAGAATGAAGCGACAGTTTTTATTTAGCTCATCAAAACATTAAAGGAGATAAAAAATAGTATTCTAGGTAGTACTGGAGTCAAATGTCATGTATTATATCTAATGAGATCGTTCATAACAAATAAATAATAAATACTGGTAATCAAATAGGTTCGACAGTTCTTGAGATGAGAAGTAAATATTTTGCTACTAACAGAGTTCAGAGAGGGCGAAGAGTGACTGGGTTTTCTGATGCAATTTTATCCGAGATTTTAGAATTAAACGGAGCCTAAAAATAATGTTCCGAAAAAAAGAAGCACACGTTTGTGATGCTGATTCCTTGCTTGTGATAAGATTGCAACAAATTCTGCTTTTCTATTATTTACCAAGACTGCTGCAATTCTTGTAAGCCCCTAGGTATCCCGGTCGGTTGTGGGTCCAGTGCAATGGAGCCATATTACGGGGTGACGAGCTAGTTTTTAAGCATTCAGATTCTAATATCCCGCTCGCTTCATCAAGAATGGAAAGAGCCACATCGATGATAAACTAAGTACAATATAGAATATACAAAAGTACACTGACAACGCTTCTGTTTAATTTTGAAGCATTAAGAGGTCTAAAAGCTCAAAATTTTTATGCATGACTTTTAATCGCATAATCAACTTCAACAGAGGATGATGAGGTAACAAAAGAGCCACAGGAGGGATCCTCCTTTGGCTCTTTTGATAATCTACACTACTTAATACAAAATTGAGAGGCAAACACATGAAAATTTCTTAAAAAATAATGTTGATATAAGACTTCTATTTAAACATACTTAAAAATTGGGCATTGGACATCTGGCTGCTGTGCAACGTACCGCGGTTTCAATTACAAGTACATCACATGACTTTTGTAATCCACAAATTATTGTTTCTGGTCTAGCCAGTTTGTGTGTGTTTTGTATGTTTGTGAACGGACCAATGACACAAGATAAAACCTATTGTGAGGAAAGTTTTTTCAAGAAAAGGTAAACATAAAAATGATAAAGGCAGAATTCAATTCCAAACCTGAGTCGAGAGTTTCTATTTGTAAAGAAAACTCCTTTAACAGCGAGAAATATCCTCAGTTGCGGATGGAAATTGTACAAATTAATATCTGGTCTGTCGAAGTCAAAAGACTCCTTTAAGAGGAATTTTTTCAATATCTGGAGACGCATTTTCGTTGGCCATAGACACGTTAAAGAATAACTGAATCACATGTGGTCTATGACGAGTAAGGTTCTCATACAATGATTTGCAATTAGTGATTTGGTCGGAATTGCGACTAATTTACATGCAATTATTGAGCACTTAGCTTATTAAGGGCGTGATTAGGTATTCGCTATATAAAATTACGGATGTTTTTATGTCCCAGTAGTAATCAGAATTGCCTGATAATGATAAAGGGGGTTTGACGGAGAATTATTAAAAAAGAAATGTAGGAAATTAGCTACATAGTTGGATTAAATACTCAATTAATCAATACAATGTTCATATTGAAACCTTATTTGTAATGTCTTATTTTTTTAAAATTAAAACTGTTCTTTCACAAAGTCTCGTCAGTTTTGCGGCAAGACAGGTAAAGAAAAGGCACCTTCGTGTAAAAACATATTTTTTGAAAAACATAGTCAGCCTAAAATCTTTGTAAGGGGTTTAGGATCATGCAACCTAAACTTGTACGTACCTATATAAAAATTTCAGCAGAATCGGTTGAATACATCTGCTTTTTATAAGACTGTACGCATATTGTATCTCAGTAAATTCGTACATAAAGTGCAAGTTTAATAGAAGCTTATAAAAATACACAAGTTACATACTCTCATTTGTTATCTACGTAATTGGTCATAAAATCAAATAATTAATTATAATTTTATTAAACTTTGGTATATTTTACATGTTAGGGCAAAGGTCTTCAAGTGGCCTACTTTCCTGAGTACAACCCGGATTCGCTCGAATATAGCGTAGTAAATACTAATAAAAAGAATGAAATGTTTATATTTTTGTAAAAATTACAAATTAAACATTGAAGAAATGAGAACGATTTGTCGATTAACAGATTGTTACTCAGAATCTCGAAATAAACCTTCGGTATCTACTTTCAGATATATTATCCTATTTATTTGTATGACGTAAGTATTTGACATTCGATGTAGCTTTATTTTTTATTTATAGCGTCTTGTACAACAAACTGTACACAAGGCGGACTTATCTAATGCAATGAGCATTCTCTACCAGTCTGAAATTTGGGTGACGCAGAGAATGTGTGCTGTTTTTATGCTAAAAATCTACAGACAGTCACTATTCCACGCGAACGGAGTCGCGGGCAAAAGCTAGTTCTGATATAATTATCTTCTGTAGATATTTTATACATGGCAATGCTTCTCTCGTAGGACCTCCATGGACGAAATTTTACTGATTCCACCATATAACACCATATGGTAACATGTGATGTTTGGAGTAGAAAAGAAAGTAGAAAAGACCTTTGAGTTTTCTTCGGGATTTCCTTTCGTTTTTTGAAAAGACCTTTCTAGACTCTATATAATATAAATAGTATAATGTGTGAAAACCGTTAACCGAGGTTTATTCTGTAGTGGTCCTTTGAGAAAAGTACCCCACACCAGTCTAAGTGGATCCGTTCTGAAGACAGGCACACGAGTGTCATTTTACACCAAAACACAAATTAGCTTCGATATTTTAGTCAAATCGTCAACTCAGGAAGTGCAGCTACCGATTAAAGGGAGATTGAGAGCTTATGTCGGAGTTTTCAAAAATGTGTCAACATTCGACAATCGTAGGTATTCTTATTTCTGCCCATAGATAATAATTTTAGCCCTTTATATTTCATATGTGCAAAATTTTAAACAAGTTTTTTTTTTATCAAATTAGCCATTTAATTTTTCTTCCATATCTTTGCGAAAATTAAAGAAATATTTCGCACCATAGTGTCCTTAACAAAAATATATATGTCACATAACCCATACTATATAACTTTGCTTTACAGAAAAAAAAAGCGACGAGTTTTGTGCTGTTATTCGAGAGATATGTGCATCTACGTTTCCATACCTCCCTTAATTTTAGAAATCCATTTTATATGCATTATTTAAAGAACTTGACATTGCATGAGTACAAACAGATATGCAAATATGAATTGCAAATCTTGTGAGTATGTATTTATTACGTAGGTACCTTATATACCTTTATAAGACAATATAATTTGTCGATCGATCGATATCTTTATTCATAAGATTTCTGATTGCGTTATTAAATAAGTGTTATCGTAATAATCAAATACATTATTACAAGTCGTACCATGTCGACCAGTCTGTCCTGACACCGAAGCGTGGCGCTAGTTTATATAGGAAACAGTTAGAAACTGACCTAATTCAGTGCATTTGAAATTGGTTCAATTTGGTGCCGTGTGTCAAGATGTGCTGGTCACCCTTTATTTATCTCTCGGCGTATATAGTACCTCGGGATGTGGTTTTATTTGTGCAGTTAATGTGTAGATCTGTCAGTCAACACAGTCGCTCTTAACTTCATTAAGTGCTTCTGTTATTAATAAATAATTTATTTTAATTTTAATATTATCGAGTATCATCAAACGGTTCAGAATGATTGTCGTGACAATTTTAGCCGCGTTGTTTTTACCTTATTTAATTATTTATTTGTATAAAAATGCTTATAATAGGCCGAAAAACTTTCCCCCAGGTGAGTTTTTAAAAAACGTGATTTTTTGTTTACAGTGGGTTTTAATTTGAAATTGACGTTTAAGTGATTATATTTTTAAATAAGTAGGTATGTATATTTTAACTAGTGAGTGATGCGGTGTGCTACTTTCGATTTTTCATTTAAGAAATTCATTTTTATTTTTAAGTAAAATATCCATGTGTACCTATATATGTATATTATTGTCATTTGCATATTAGATATCGTAGATCAAATGAAAAGGTGAAGGACCTCTAATTTTTAGAAGACAAGAAACAATATTATACCATAAGTATAAATCAAATATAATTTATATGAAATCAATAATTTAAAAATGACTATTTTATGGAAAAGTATAGTAAGTAAGTAAATATACAAACTTATTTTCTCTGATCTACTTACTTAGAAATAAGAAAATGAAAAATATATTTTTTTTCTTCAAAAAAAACCAGTTCTATTTAGGTTCGTAGGGAAATCGACAAAGTACCATTAGATATTTACTTTTTACCGACTTCTATAAATCCTCTTTGGAACAGGTTACACGACAAGATCAATTTATGGTTCCTAAGCCATACAACCTGATACATCTGTGATCTATTATCACTCAAGTATAAGTACCTAGCTGTCATTGATTAATTATTTTTTTTGTCCTACCCCACTTATGGTTTTCTTACTACTTATTATTAGGTATTTTCTTAATTCTGTTTGATATGAATTGCTTGAAAAAGCGTTATGTTTTACCGCAAGTTTCTTGTACATATAGAATATATAAATAAGTATGTAAATAACTTAATTTATCATATTTTTTTGCAAATTACTCACTGTTTTCGAGAAAAGGTTCTCATTTTAATCTTAATGTATGAGTGTCCGCGATTATCACTCGATTGTTAAAAGGAATGGATGCGCCTTTTTTTTGGAAGATTATTTTTTGTTGGTCCCGCGTAATCATCAGGTCAGGCAACTTATTTTGTGCAAGACTTAAGGCAACGACTTCCTCTTTAACCTATCAGCAAACAATCCAAACAAATAATAAAAGATTTTTTTTATATATTTATGACTTAATTTAAACGTTGATCGAATTACTTTTTTTAAAGTTGCCCCACACTATTATTTTCTTCTGGTTCGTGAGTGCGTTTACAAACACATACACATCACAACCTGACCTGGAACAACTTGTGGATCACACACAGAGTTGTTCCGTGCGAGAATCAAACCCGCGTTACGTTGCGCGGCAGCGTACCATCGCGCCAACCGTGTAGTCAAATTTAAATTCTCATTCCTTTTTTAATATTTTTAGTAACGTCCGCATTTTCGACTTTCGCCTGTGTTTTACAAACATGCGTATAAATGCACATTGATATACGCATCTCATCAAGACATAAAGAAGATTCAAGATCTGCTGAAAAAAAAATTTACCAACTTTTCGTCGTTTGAAATGCGATATAAGTAAACCAGTAATAAGTCTATGCTAAATGTATATGTAGGTACAACATGAGATTTAAAATAAAAAATAAAACGTGCAACCAACACGTGAATTTGACATTGGTAAAATATTTACCTACTTATACATGCATTCAAATAATCGCTAAATTCACATGTCTTAAATTATTGGCAAACATGATCATCCGTCTGTCGCTAAGAGTTGTAGTTTAGAGCGATTTTTATTCCATCCATTTAGACTCTTAGACAAATAATCTAACTGCTGGTATCTTCGTAAAAATAGCTTTTTGTCATCAACCCTCTCCCGCCCAGGGTAAGGCAATAGAGACTGTTAAGTGTGTCAGACTCTTACTGACTAAACCCCGTGCCTTCTCCTGCTCTGGGCCGAGGTCGCGGTGCCTCATTGCGCTTACACCGCAACCCCGGCTGAACATCAGCCCTATTGGGCCCCGTCTGTGGTGGTCTTTTGGCTCTTTGAGGCGCGCGCGGAACGCTACGCACCATACACTCGGTGCGGGCTAGTGCTGCAGTACATTAATGTGCCTGCATACGCATCTTCGGCTGAACATCAGCCCTAATGGGCTCCATGTATATTGTGTCCCATCTAAAGATTGTGCTTAAGAGCCATTTGCATTCTATTAGAAACCTATCTGCCGTATTCCAGTAAAAAATACTTTTTGTTATTAACGTCCAAACACGAGATTATCTAATACTTCCACTTAAAAAAAACTTAATAAACGTTATTGACATAATTTATAAGGTTAGGTTAAACTTATAAGTTGTAAAAAACGACAGTTATAATCTCTGTACAAATTAGTATGATTATCAGGACCTCGAAATAACTTTAAATTGCTTATTATCAGAAAATTAGACAAAACAATATGGAAGTTTACGATCAATTTAGCTGTTGTTTACGAATTTACGTACTTTATTGGTTATGGCCACGTTTGTTATTTTTTCGCCTAAAAATTGGGGGCGTGGTACAAATACCTAATACTTACAATGTTCCAAAAATGCTGCAGATCATTTCTATGGGAAAATGAAATTTACTTATATATATTTTCATTCTAAGTTGACACTAAAATTTAACTTAAAAACGTTAATTGAAAATATTGAAATGAAATTTTTGGAAAGAAATAATAATGGTAATGACTTGGCGAGACAAAATGCTAATTCAATATTTTTTTATGGAAAATTACTCCTCTCTTAAATGTTTAACCCATCTTGGTCGATGTTTTAGTGATTACCGCGTCATGTTTGTTTTTACACGACTAATCCAAATTAATAACTATCGAAATAATATAAGTACCTAAGTCGTTTTTATACGAATAGATCAGAAGGTCGTGCTAAGATGCGATGTTATTTTTATATTGAAGAACGACCGAAAGATTTTTCTTATGTCCAAAAATTGATTATCCGAACATTGCATAGCTACAATCAGGTACAAAAGTTGAATATGTATCTAGATCTAGATAAGAAAACACATGTAACCTGATTAGTCCCGTGTTTACAAACGTGTACACGTGTGTACATGAACGAAAATCAAAATTAATCAACAAAGATACGATGTTCAGGATGATAATAGTGACTCAACTTACTGGTTTTTCAATGTAAATAAATAATTTTATTATTTTGTCTAATCCATACGTTTATTTATCTACTAAGCAATAAATCTGAGTTAGGATAATAAAAGCTTTTTTAAAAATATATACCTATATATGTATATAGTGAAAAGTGTGATTGCCGAGAGAAAGAACAATACACAGGCTATGAAATCCAAAAATATAGCAAAAGTCACAACTTGTTTTCAAAACGAGCTGCTCTCGCGCGGTTCCACTCAGCTGCTATAGATCACAGCGTGATGTTTTATAGCCCATAGCACTCAAAAACCTAGTAGCTACATATCTATTAGTGAAAGAATTTGAAAATATAACCAGCAGTTCCAAACATTTATCCCCTACATACAAACATACAAAATTTTACTTCTTTATAATATTAATACCAATAGGATGTGGATAAAAAACTCACAAACTTCAAAACAGTAATCTTTACAAATAATCTAAATTGTAATGATTTATTTCTTTACCACCAGGCCCACCGAGTCTGCCAATATACGGAGCCTTCTGGATAGTTCTGGCACATGGCTTCACCGATCTCGCATTGGCTTTCAAAAGGCTGGGAGAAAAATACAAAACGAAGATCTTGGGTCTCTACATGGGACCTGTTCCAACCATAGTCCTGAACGACCCTGAACTGATCAAGGAAATGCTTAACCGCGAAGAATTTGATGGCCGGATGGACATTATATTATTTAGACTGCGGTCATTTTGGAAGAAATTGGGTAAGTTCTTTTTTGTGATAGATAACCCTGTCACTCTACGAACAGTGCTTTCTGTACCCGTGGAACATTCTGGAAACATCGAAGTCTATTTTTACAATATTATCATATTATTATTAAGTGCTCTCTATCAATCTGCTGAGAAACTGCATTAAGTTAAAATGAGTTTGAGGAAAGCGCTTTAATTTTTTTTTATGTAATTAGCCAGCAAACGAGCAGACGGATTACCTGATGGTAAGCAATCAGCGCCGCCCATGGACACCCGCAACGGAGGAGTTACGAGTGCGTTGCCGACCTTTTAGGGATTAGGGATTGGCGAAGGGTCCGGGAAGGGAAAGGATTGGGCCTCTGATAACCTCACTCACACGGCGAAACACAATGCTGTGGTTGTTTCACGCCGGTTTTCTGTAAGGCCGTGGTATCACTCCGGTCGAGCCGACCCATTCGTGCCGAAGCATGGCTCTCCCACACTTAAACTTACTGTATGCTTATGTATGCTTAAATCTTTAAAACTGCGGAACGGATTTTCATAATGATTAAAGAGGAATGCTTATTTGTATAGTAATCATTATTCAATAGTGGACAAAATTTAGTAGGTATCAGCATTGCAATCGTGAGAAGCCGAGGCCGGCCGGGGAGCTTCCCTAAAAATTAAAAAAAATTGTTGGCGACACTTAATGTATGGTACTGCTTCGTAATATAAATAGCCGTTATGTACTAGTTAATTTGAAAATTGAACATAAATTGTATGGACTATGTGATATAAGTTTATCGCGAACTTATATGAAGTTTGTGAAACTAACTTAATATAATTACTTCGTTGCAAAGAGAATACGAGTATATCAATATTTATATGTAACGGTTAATTTAAAGGTTATGTTTAACTTAACCTCAATGTAATTACAGTATAATTGTTGTAGCTAACTAAGTATACTTAACCAATAATCTTTACAGACCTCATTGTCATTTACTTTCGTTTTTTATATCATAATTTAATTGTAATTGGGAAATTTCCACAGTTAAAATTAGGTATGTTTTTGTTTTTACTGTTACGTACGTACGTTATTTTTGAATTAAATTAAAGAGACTTATCTTTAAATAACTTGTTTTCGCTATTTATCAAATGACACAGTCCGAACAAAAATAAGTATCTGTTAGGAATTGATTTACTATAACTGTCATTGTAGTTTGACATATCCACAGATAAAATAACAACCTCACTTCATTTCCACTTGTACCTTCATTGAAAATACCTACTTAGATTCAAATGCCCAAATTTTACCAGATTGTATTGTATTTTCGATGAACTTTGGCATCCAATGTAAGACTTAACTTGTGTGTAGGGTGTCATTGTTATAGGTATTATATGTATAAGTAGTTTAACTTGCTCATAAAAGCATAAAGCTTAAAAACCATCCTAGTGCGAGACAGACTCGCTTACAAAGGCTTCCTAAAAATTTGAAAGCCCCGTTAAATATTTGTTTCAAATCGCATTTTAAAGAAGTTTTTGTTGTTGAAGTGGCAAAAGATGTAACAGGGGATATACCTAGAATATGTGACATACAGTCAGACAGACGGACAGACAGCGGTGTCTTATGAATCAATGAATTATATTTTGTAAACAGGCCATAAAACAGCACCTTTACAAGTCAAAACTATATGCAAAAAAATAAGATGAAGCTTATCGGACTACTCTGAGAAGAAATGCCGAATAAAAACTCAGAGGTCCCGTGTCTTCTTATTAAAAAGGTTTCCTTTTACCCCTTGCGTACGGAAATCTAGAAACCACGAATTTCTTATTCATCAACTGTTAATCTTTTAACCTTTTTTTCCATTCACATCCAACAAACGCTTTCCAATAATTCGCCAATTTCCAATAAACTTAAATCTTAAATGGTCCAGTAGCATTTTGACCTAACTATAAAATAGTCAATTCTTTGTGTACCAACATAAGCACAACAAAGTAAGGACGTCAATATTTAACTACATCTATTTTCATAAAATGCATAACTAACGCGTGTGTTTGTTTAGTGCAACATATTCCTTTATCGTTGGAAATATCTAGGCACTTAGGTAATTACGTAACGATGTTTATTGACACATATTATTAACTGTTTAGTATACACCTATAAACGTATATGCTACTCTAGTATGTAAGCGCCTGCATGTCCAAGCTTTGTTCGATTTTTTTAAAGATTGATTTTTCGTCCCCTCTCTTTGGACCCGATTTTTGAGAGCGCAGCAATCAAGTCAAGTAGGACTTGACTAAGTTACTACCCTACGTAAATAGGTCAATAATTACATTGTAATTCATTTCCAAAACCGGAAATCTTTCGATATTACTAGATATCTTTTATTTTTTTAAGTAACATTGACCTCACTAGTATATTCTCCTGTGTCGTATACACATTCACATCACACCCAGACCCGGATCAACAATATGTGGATCACAAAAATGAGTTGTTCTTTGATGAGGGGATCGAACCCGCGACACGTTGTGCGAAGTTAAACAATATCTATTCGAAATTGTTGCAGTACAAATGATTATTAATAAATAATTGATTAATAACAAACTTTATCACCGGATCCACATTCATATTTATAGCCTACTTATCATCTTAAAAGACCTTGTTATTTCAGGAAGTGTCTTCCTGAAACTATAATTAATCGTATCTAATATAATTAATATATTTAAACAAGCAATTACATACTTAGTTATGGTATAATCAATCGTATTTAACCAAGTAATTAACTATTATATTCCAACTATATGTCGGTAAACCGACGACCGATATAACAGAACCACGTCTGGAATATAGACCACGTCTAGGCAAATGTTAGGTTAGACGTTCTCCAAATGGGTGAAGTAATGGATGACGTCCGCAAAGTTGCTGTGTAGGGGAGGTCATGTCAAGAAATTCCGTATAGAATGGCTGTTCTCGATAACATTATTTAACATTAGATTCCTCCAGAAGTTGACAACGCATGGTATGTTGATAAAAATCACCCTACATTTGAATCCAGGGTATTATCTACCTACATACCAAATTTTAACCAAATCAGTCAAGCCGTGATATACACATGCATTATATTCTTACAAACTTTCACAGTTACCTATAATATTACCAGCCGGGGTTGCGGGGTAAGCGCAATGAGGCACCGCAACCTCGGCCCAGAGCAGGAGAAGGAACAGGGGGGTTTTTAGTCAGTAAGAGTCTGACACTCCCTCCCGCCCGGGCCTGGGCGGGAGAAGTCATCAGATAATTTTCCCCTCACAAAAAAAAACCTATAATATTACGAGTAGTAGAAGAGTAGGATTGCATTTGGAAAATAAAACGTACTTTCATTGTGATTGAATGAGAGCAAATAAATTCATTGTTTATCAATGAACTACCCAGCCTGCCATGTCAATCAACCCTGATACTTATGACGGCAGCATTTATTTATAAATATGATAATAAATAATGACAAATAACTCCTTTTTCCGTTTTCAATATTTCATTTTAATAAGAATTTTATTTTATTCATTTGTAATCAATGAATGGTTGGAATTCAAGCGATCATGAGATTAAATGTCTGAAAAAACTCTTTGTCGAGAGCTGTAAACGATAAGACTCTTACTTCTTAATTATGCATATTATTTAAATGCTTTGAAATAATCAATTCTGGACAAATAAAATAATATTGAGATTTTCCGTTAGGATAATTCTTTAGGAACATAGTACCCAGTTTTGAATTGAGTTTAGAATATTGTAACGTGCTTGCTTTATATTATAATCTGACCCGTCCCGGCTTCGCACGACTGCAATACGGATACAAAGTTACTTAACTATTTAATGGGTTTTATTATATATACAAATAAACCTTCCTCTTCAATCGTTATTATTAAAAAACACGCATCCAATTCCGTTACGTAGTTTTAAAGTTTTAAGCATGCAGAGTGATAAAGGCACAAAGAAAGCGACTTTGTTTTATGCTATGCATGTATTTAGCGTCAGCCCGTTTCCGTCCATTGCATACATTACATAGCTTGCACGATCTTCAGGCCTTCGAATCTAACTACTGCTAGCCGCTTTGCGTATATAGGTAAGCACTCTCCTTAGTTGGGATAGGCATCAATGTAAAATCGTTTATTCTATCAAATAGGTAAAAAAAATACGCGTCGACATGAGAACCACCTCCTTTTTTGAAGTCGGTTAAAAAAACACAGGACCTTCAAGTTTGTGCTACAACACATTTTCAATTGAACCTTTTTGTCCAGGTATATTCTTCACGGACGGTTACTTCTGGCATCAGCAGAGAAGATTTTCTCTTCGTTATTTGCGAGACTATGGGTTTGGACGGCGGAGTGATGAACTGGAGTCAACCGTCGCTACTGAGATCAAGGAGATGATAGACTTGAGGATTAGTGGACCGAAGTACCCCGCTGAAATGGTATGAATTTTCTGCAACCTGCTTAATGCGTAGATTGTGCTTGTCATAAATTTTTTCTTTACATATAATTGGCCGCTTCATTTTCAGTTCCTATATTTTTTTTTACATAAATATTTGATCTATATTCGTTACAATAGTTTTTCTACAAAACTAGCTAATAATGATTTTAGATTGAAGTTGATACCTACGGCATTCGCTATTAAATTTAGCAATAGGGTTTTAGCTCAAAACTGACTGGCTAATGTACCTAAGTGGGTATTTTTGCATGTCCACTTGTACTTACCAATATCTAATCAATGTTGATTGTATTAACAAGATTCATGCAATGATACGAACGATAAAAACTTCTTTGTTTTGAGATGCAAATGCGATAAATATTGCGATTTATTTGTTGCACATGTGATGATGCAATGTGAGATAGGAGTATAATAAATCAGTGGAATTATCCAACTCCATTTTTGTTTGATTACCACCATAGATTTTGTCTCAAGAGAATCTCAAGTAAGACTGAACAAAAAAAAAGTATATCCGTATCTAATAGTCCTTTCATAACTTACCAGTGTTCTATAGAATTCTTAATTGTCCATCGCTACCTACATAGTATAAAACACAGTCGCTTTCTCTTTTTCTATACCCTATGTGTGCTTTAATCTTTAAAACTACGCAACGAATTTCGATGCGAATTTTATAATAGACAGAGTGACTCAAGGAGCATGTTCGTGTGTATAAGAATCCGTAAAAAAGTGGAGAAATTTAGTAACCACATTAAATCTGTGCGTAGCATGGTTGGGTTGCCAGTTTGAAAATAAGAACAAGTCATCTTTTGCGGTCTTTTGAATAATGGTTTCTCTTTCTTTATAGGAAATAGTCAAAGGTGACTTGGTGTACATGCCATACTTCTTCTCAATTCCATTCCTCAATGGTATGCTCCAAGTTTTCTCTCGAAGCACATTACCAAGGTCGGAGTACAAAGCCCTTTGGTCCCTTGCCCGTGGTACCGTCTTGTTTCAAAGAAGCTCGACTGATATGGGCGGTGCCCTCTCCTTAACTCCTTGGCTGAAAGACGTTATGCCAAACTACAGCGGATACAACGATCTGGTGAAAGGAAACGACTATCTGTTGAAATTCTTCAAGGTACGTATTTCTTGAACGTTTTTAACTGATGGAAAATACAGACATTCCTAAACCGCTTAACGCACTGTCACATGATACATAAACACCCGCTTTACACACGAACAACTATGTCACCATCACCAAATCGACCCATACAATCTTGAACAAATTACTTCCGAAGAACACACCACAAACACCTTCATAACACACCAGACATACATCGTAAATACGCTCAAAAAATTTAATAATAGGTACTTAAACAACACTCAAACATACTAGCACGTACACATTACACACATCAACTCACATTAACACACTCAAACACAATCATTATTATTTTCTTTGTAAACAACCACTTTGTAAGTTTATATCAGTCTCATAATTATGCCCCAATTCATCCCATATACAAATCTGTATCAAATAGCAGATAAGATTTGCGCATTGCATCGCAATACACCTCCATCCATCCATCGCAATACAATCCACCCTCATGGGGCGGGTTTAACCCCCAGTACATAAAAAAAAACTGATGGAAAAATATTTTTGATTGTAATTTGTTTTTACTTCTTCAAATTTTGCTGACAACATTAATGTTTAAGTAAATAATGTACACTAAATGTTATATTAGTGAAATTGTAAAACAAATATTTTTTTTTAAAGAGTTACTATGGAGTTTCTTGCTCATTCTTCTCCATTCGAATCTACAATTTGGAAAGAGCATAACTATAAAAGCTGACGAATAGACTGATAGACTAATATTCTATTTTGACGTTTCAAAAATACCTATTTATGGTTTAGTTGGAATAAATGATTTTGACTTTGACTTTGAATACATCTAAGATTTTTTCGAGTTGTTTCGTGATGACTGCAATTTAGACAAGAGATTTAGAAAGAGAGAAGATAATATTAAATCTTCTACTTACTTCTCGGCACTTCTAAAGAAGTGTTACAGTGTAATTTTTAGGTTAAAGTTCAATGGCCCTAAGATTCGTTTGTTGTTGTTTCAATTATATATCAATACAACAGAGTCACGACACCTGTTACCGTTTTGAACCTCCTAATAGCTTGACATAACTTTATTAGATATTCTTCGAATTGGGTTCAGTATGAGACACCTATCTGTAGACACTAATTAAGTAATTACTAAAGCAATAAGAATTTAAAATACCTATTCCCTATTCGATATATCAGTTTCGTGTTTTTTATTTATGTCTTCGCGTCGTCGGTAGATGGCGCCACGTGAAACATTAAATACGCGTTTAGTTCGTCTCATTGCATCCTTGAGATTTTTAATTACTGAAGTTATGTATAGGTAATAACATACCTAACAGCACGAGCAAGCTCCTAACTCGACTGTTATTCTATTTTGACGTTTCAAAATTACCTGTTTATAGTTTAGTTACAATAAATACTTCCACTTTTGAGTTTTACTAACAATCGATGTAGTAAGGATTCACAGTAAGGAATATAGGTACCTAGACAATATCACCTTGTCGGACTTTATAAGTTACTATTATAACTTGATATTTTCTAACAATACGGTAGTTTACAACTAGTCAGGTTCAGTAATTTAATATAATTGAAATGTTAAAAACTATAGTTTTTTATGGAGAATGGGACTGTTTATAAGACGCCATATTGTTTTAAATAACAATATTTTTGAAAAATTTGCTGCAGTATCTAATATCAGTGCATCAATAATAATAAAGTTAGGTAGGTATACCTATTGCCGATTCAATAAATGAAAGTTTGCTACTTAATCGATTATATGTATAAAATTAATATTTTTAAGGCCTATTTTTGCCTAATACATCATTCTACTGAAAACTTAAAATAATCAATTTTTGATCTAGAAAACATTGATATAGATTGATTACAATCAAGCGCTTAAAATATGTACCATGTTTTACTTTTGACAAAACAAGGTAAATTTTGCATTTCAGAAATTAGTTAACGAAGCTATGGAAACTCACGACGAGACCTACGATCGTCACTTCATAGACATGTACATCACGAAGATGAAAGAAGAGATGCGAGAGAAAGAGAAGACTACATACTCAGGTACGGTAACAAATTAATTCAATAACTTATATCAGAGATTATTTAATTCTAAATCAAAATTAATTTATTTATTTTAATTCTTAATAAAAAGATTTCGTAGGCGAATCCGAATAGCATAATATTAATAGCGTTTGCGTCGCGTCGGTGGTTTTTTCTTTTTTTTCTCGACATTCATCACAGTTGTTATCTCCCTTTTTCTGTAATTCTTGGTTTTCAACATTATTACTTTCTCCTGTGTCGTGGTTGCGTTTAAAAACATATACAAACATCCAGACCCGAAACAAAAACTTGTAGATCACACGAAGTGTTGTTTCGTACGAGAATCGATCCAGCTCGCAATTGTCCAGCCAGTCTAGTGGTGTCACCTTTAGATTGACTTTTATTTCTACCACCAGCTTATCTTGCGCGGTTTCACTCGCTGCTCGGCTTCTATAGATCATAGCGTGACATTTAATAGCATATAGCCTGCCTCGATAAATGGACTAACAAACACAAAAATAATAGTTCAATTTAAACCAGTAGTTTCGAAGATTGGCGCGTTCAAACAAACAAAGTTTACAGCTTTATAATATTAATATATATAATAATAATAATTTAAGTGTACTTGATATGTCATTGTAATTTTCCGCCTTATGGGATCAAATTATCTGCGTAGGTAGATAACTATATTTCTTGCTATTGTGAATTGTTATCGAAATTTCTAGGAGGTATTTGGTTTCTAACCTAAATATGCTATACTTAGTACGATTACTATATTATCAGAAAATTAAGTATTTTAATACATTAATCCCTCTTGTTATATGTATGGAAACTAATATTCAAATATTTTATCTTAGTAAGTAGCTACTGCAATAATATGATTATAATGATTATATGTAGGCACATTAAAGGTGTTAAAAGATAAAAAAGTACTAGCCTAGGTGACTTGTAATTTTTCCTAGGTTTGTCGTTTCAATAAAAACTTTTTGCTAACTTGGAACACATATTTATTAATCAAACTTTCAATTATCAAAAATGCCAGCAATAAATACAGTTGAAACCCTGATAACATTTTTGCTAAATTGGAACGGTTTCCGAGTACCTAAGACTGAATTTACATTGTGGCTTAAATATATGTGTTGCAGCTAAGTAGCTTGCTTCGCCAGTTAACTGAGAGCGTGAATAAATAACTATAGTTATAATCGAATAACAAAAATGTTCTTTGAAGCCGTTATTTAAAAGATGAAAGGGTTATGATTAAAACTGAGTTGCTACTGAACCGAGAGAAATCGAATTGCCATTCTAAATGAACAGGTACCTACTAGACCTAGCTTGCGATACCATTGATTAATAAAGGGTTAACATAAAAATATTTAGGTCAAAATTTGATTTCCACATACCACATGAAAAGCCTCTTGAGGTCCAATAGGTCTGATGATCAGCTGGGGTTGCGGGCTTGCAGGTCATGCGTAATAATGTATTGCTGCCCCGGCCTGGAGCAGGAGAAGGAACAGGATGGTTTTTAGTCAGTCTGACACTCCCTCTCGTCGTAGTGGCCCGGAGGTTAAGGAGCCCGCTTCTCATGCATGAGGGTGTATGTACTTTCTATGATTATTTAGACACCACTGACATACGGTGAAGGTAAACATTGTGAGGAAACCTGGACTTATAAATTCTAATTATAAGTTTGTAATCGCCAACCTGCATTGAGCAAGTGTGTGGATTAATGCTCTAACCTTTTCCGTATGAGAAGAGGCCTTTGCTCAGCAGTGGGCACTTATTGGCTGAATGATGACTCCCTCTCGTCCCACCGGGCTAGGATAGGAGATAATTCGATGCATTTCTCCCCTGAAAAATAAAAGCTATTTAAAAATACATGTTTTCCAATTGAAACTCGTTTTGTGTTATTGCAATATTTAAATGATAACACTTGTTTTGTCGGCTGTGTGACCCACTTGTATCGATAGCTCATTAAAATAACTATTATGATAATTATTGCAATGGTATCTAGAAACTATATTTTACTGTTTCGAGTACAGTGGCAGGAACAGGAAAATGTCATATAATTGTATCTAATGTTTGTTCTGATATCTAATTTATTTTGAGGTTGTGTGCGAAGTTAATATTATGAACGAACAAAGGGCAATGCTAGGTATGGTATGGGCGATAATTTTGAGAGAGCGGATGGAAACTCGGTACCTTCTTATTGAGAGGTAAAATTTGTAAGTTTGTATGTAGGGGGTAATCTTTGGAACCGTAGGTTGGATTGCCAAAATTCTTTCACTTATAGATTGCTACAATGTTCCCTGATATAGGCTAATTGAGTGCTATAGGCTATGAAACATCACGCTACGAATAAAACCACGCGAGAGTAGTTAGTATTAAATATACTCCTCTTTCGCGGTTTCAACGGTTGCTCGGCTCGTGCTGGTCTTAGCGTAATGTTATAGCCTACAACAGCCTCCCTCGATATATGGACTAATGAACTCACGAACATAAAAACAATTGTTTAACTCTTACCAGAAGTTATGAAGATAAGCACGTTGAAACAATCAAATCACATTTTTGTGGAGGAAATACCATTAAATGACTTCCCTTGCCCAGGGTAAGGTGAGAGGGAGTGTCAGACTCTTACTGACTGAATCCCCCCGTTCCTTCTCCTGCTACAGGCCGAGGCCACGGAACTTTATTGCGCTTGACCCTTAACCCCAGCCAGTTAAGTATTGGCTATGTTGGGCCCCACGTGTGATGGTCTATTGGGAGATGTAATATATCTATGTTTCTATTAAGAACTTTACGATAATTGTATAAAACTTGTGGCCTGTATTAGTAGGTAATATTCATAGAGAACTCAGTGGTAAACTAAGGCCGCTATCCCACTAGGCGTTTTAGTAGCGTTAGCGGCAACGTCGACGCAGCGCAAACGCAACGTTAACGTTACGTTGAAAACATCATGAGTGTTTTCGTGGCTTAAATTCGTAGAGCGAAGGTCTACTTACCTACCGTAGCATACATTGGCCTAAAGCTTAAAGGGAATGTACCTTTACAATAGATCTTTTGTATACCTACTTTCTTTCCTTTCTTAGTATGTTTCATGGCTCAATAGAAGTGTCACGTAAATTTGGTAATTAACGATCTTCCTACACTAATTATCCGATTATGAATTTGATTGATTGGCAGGATGCTTTATAATTATTTAATCGCAGGTGGATACACAAGCTAACATTTCGTTGAATCCGTTTCGTGTAATATGTATGTTTTATGTAAATTTCTTTTAATAACATTTAAATGAATGCATTAATGATACATGATATTTACAAATGGTTTGTTTATTTGCTATCTCTTTAAAAAAATCAAAAGATAAGGTTTCCAGGAATATCAATTTGTCGAATTTCTACTTTTAGACCGTACAGTTTCAAAAAACCTGGGTCAAATAATATTACTGGCAGCAATAAGAAATTGGGCCTCAGAAACGAGGTTTTAATGCAATTTTAATTTATTTATAAATTAACAATACTTATTGACATTCGACCTATTTATTTGACACTTTAAGTGTTGAACGTGGTTCGAAATTTAAATACTACCTACTTTTTTAAATAATACCTACACGGAAATGTTCATAGATAATGTAAACTTGGACATTTGTAAAAAATAACCGCTATCGAATGGTTTAATCAGAAAACATTTTAAAATGTCAGTAGTCACGTAAAATCAAAATAACAGGTGCGTTTAAGGATGTGTGAGATTTAATTCAGCAATAATTATACACAACACTACAAATGATTTAACTAAGACATAAATTAACATTTTAATTATAGTGGATCAAAATAAAAGCTTTGTTTAATAGGTTAAGTATAATATAAATAAAGTCTGTAGGTATGTAAATACTTAGTTGACTATCTAGGACTCATAAAACATAAGTGCATATTGCATTTAATGTAAAAAGTAAACATGTGCACGCTACCTAAGTTAAAACCGATTGCTGAAAAAAGCGTTCTTACAGTACATATCTGGAGCACTTTACACAGTGTACTGTAAAACAAAGTCGCTTTCTCTCTTTCCCTATGTATATGCTCTTTACAACTACACCACAGATTTTCATGCGGTGTTTTTAATAGATACATATAGTGCTTGAAGGGGCAGATTTAGGTATATTATATATACTTAATAACATCCATTAAACAGTGGAGAAACTTAGACTCAAAATTGCACCCATACGAAGCCAGGGCGGGTCGCTAAAAGTCTTTCCGTAGTGGTAAGCTACTCTATTCCCTCAGAATACAGAACAATATTCCCTTTGAAAATAAGTATCCCTAAATTACGCGAAACCGCGGCACACAACTAGTTGAATATAAAAGGAGATTTATTGATTTGATTTTTGTATATATTTGCTTGAAAAATTTTGAATAATTAGTGGACAGTCCAAATGTAGATTTTAATATCACTTTTCATATAATTTAATATGTATTTTGTGTAAGCTATTGACCTAATAGACGAAAACTATTAGGTAAGTAATAAAAAAGAAGTTCGTTTTGCGTCTATCTGTTAATATCAACACGACGAATTAAAATCAACCAGACGGATTCTGTTCGGATTTCGGTGTTAATTCTCAAATTAATTTTATTTACCTCACAGACCTAAGTCAAGACATGAAAGTACATACAAATGATGTAAAAAAAAACTATTTTAATTCAAATTGACTTAAGGTTATTTTTTTGCAACAGGCAAAATACTCGAAACTTGTGAATGTGGCTTTAATTTGCAGAAGCTCGGATATTACTAATTATATTTCAGCAGAAGGAATAAGTTAGTACAAAGAAAATGTGTCCTTAAAAAGGATGGTTTAGACGCCATTTTTTTAAAAAACAAGTTCTTAGATCATATGAATGAACTCGTTGACATAAACGTAAAATGTATTAACTAAATAAATTGACTGCATGGTTGATGCGGCGGCTGGGCAACTGGCTGCCGTGCAACGTGTCGCGGGTTCGATTCCCGCACGGTACAACTCTTTGTGTGATCTACAAATTGTTGTTCCGGGTCTGGGTGTCATTTGTATGTGAAATTGTATGTTTGTAACCGCACCCACGACACAGGAGAAAATCCTAATGTGGGGCAACGTTTTATTTAAAACAAACAACAAACAAACAAATTACGTGCTTACTCATCCACGTTTCCTTATTTTCAGTGGACCAGCTGATCCTAACGTGTACAGACTACACATTCCCCGCGGCGTCGGCAGTGCAGTTCGTCTTGGCAATCCTCGTAGAGCGTCTGCTTCTGCAGCCTGAGATCCAAGATAAGATCCATGAGGAAATCGACCGAGTCGTCGGCAGAGACCGTCTCCCGACCCTGGATGACAGAAGAAAGTACGTACTTAAGTTAAATAACTATCGTTAATCTAGTTGGAGGTGGTCCACAGACATGAGAAAGTTAAGGCGCTCGCTTTCATGCATTAGGATTGAGGAGGTGGGTTCGAACCTAGCAAGGGCCAGTGTGACTTTCTCCGAGTCATGTCTAGATAATTTCTAAGTTTATTCCGACACTACTGGCATACGGTGAAGGAAAATGTCGTGACGAAATCTGAACTTTTTTTTATAATTTTTAATTATAAGTCTAAAATCGCCAATCCACCTTGAGCAAGCGTGCCGATTAATGCTCAAACCTTTTCCGCGTGAGAAGAGGCTTTTGCTCAGCATTGAGCTGAAGGCAATGTGAATCATGTTAAAATATTTTTTACTTCTAATTCACGTAACTGCTTGAAGAATCGTCGTGCTATGCTTATCATGAATATGCGTCTCTTGGGTGGCTTGAAACGATTCAAGTAATTAAGTCGCTAAACATAATAATTACGTGAACTGCTATTGGAGCACCTGTGACCTTTATTAGTGCAAGAATCTTCTTCAACAGCTTTCTGTGATGGCAGTCACAGACTTAACTATAGGTTGGTAATTGTCTATTAGGGTAGGTAGCGTAATAAATACATCAATATGATATATATCAATTGACGAATAACGTCAATTTTTAATGACACTTCAAATGGCTCATAATTGTAGGACCCTTTCTGAGCGTTCTTTTTTCTGATCTATATTTATCCTCCTTCTATTTCGTTTTTTGCTAAGATGAGCTTTCATAATATTAACAATTGTCCAACCACTTTTGGCAGTTGCTATTTGCTCTTGAATAAGAAGCTAAAGTAGGCTCGATTGATGAAAACCTTCTCCGTTTGAGAAAATGCCTTTACTCAGCAGTGGGTCCTTATAGGCTAATAATGATTTGATATGATAGTAGGCATGAATACTGGGTCAGACAAAATACATATTTAATTACGAATTTGGAACCTAGCGTCAGATCCAGATTTCTATTGTCAAAAGAGCAGCCATTATTTAAGGATATAAATAATAATGCCTAGGTATTTAATAATACTGTTAATTCAAGTTATGAACTTCACAAAAAAGTAATAAAAATATATATTTAAATTAATAGGACACATAGAGACAAGAATTAATATTATTCCTTATGTACATACCTATGTTACTTCATACCAGCATAATTATTACACGGCACGTTGGTAATACACCAAAAATAAACGAAATTACAATAAAGCAAGATATTAAAACCTGCATATAATTTAATCTCACTTAATAATAAATTATATTCATAATTATTACAAGAACGATATATGTATTTATATATGACTTTACTAGTAACATGTCCCGACTCCACACAGATGGGTGAATGTTTTAGTAAGGATCCCTATTCGAGATCTGCCTTTTTTGTCAGGGGAAAATCATCAAATGACTTCCCCCGCCCAGGGTGAGATCAGCGGAAGTGTTAGACTCTTGCTGACTAAAAACCTCCTCGTTCCTTCTCCTGCTCTAAGCCGAGGACGCCTCATTCGGCTTACCCCGCAATCCCGCAAACATCAGCCCTATAGGGCCCCATTAGAGGCGTGGAACGCTACGCGCTGTACGTCTGGATCTGTTCGGGCAAGCTACCCTTACTCGCCGTCCGCAGACTTGCGCTTACGGTGGCCGGAGATCATCTCTCGATCCATTCGGGATTTGCCTAAGGTCTTTTTGGGCTGTAGTCCTTCCTGGCTCACATGCGCATAAGGTCCCCTTGTCCCCGCTAAAACCAATAGGCGATATCTATATTATATACACCTACATTATGAAAATTATGCTAAAATAAGAACAAGTAGAATTTGCTGCTACAGCAATTCTATAATTTAAAATTATTTAAAAATAGATATAACAATAATAAATAAATTTTTATTTGGTTATTTTATGACTTCGTAAATTATATTCGTTGGTTTATTTAGTGGGATATTTTATGGGGTGGGTTTGCCCATAGACTGTAGGTATTACTCAGGGTGAGTGTACCTTTATAATGGTGAAAGAATGTGTGAGAGCCATGATTTGTCATGAATGGGCCGGCTCTATCGGAGAGATACCAAGGCCTCGCAGAAAACTGGCGTGAAATCACAGCGTTGTGTAAAGTTACCGGAGACCCAATTCCTCCCCACCTCCATCTCTCCCAAATCGCGAAATCAACCAAACCCCTTATCCCCAAAAGGCTGGCCCCCAAAGCACTTGCAACTGAACCACAGTTATTCGAAAGCTTGCTTCCCGCTGCATAATTTAAAAAAATAATTTATATGGGCTTAGTAGTTTTTGAGTTTATTTGCTACAAATACACACAGACAAACCAAAGTACAAATTTTCCCACTTTATAATAAGTATAAGTGTAGATAGACATAGATTATCTACTGACAATTAACTTTTTCATACGTCGGCGTCGTCTGGCGTCTTTTAAAACAAATTAGAAGGTCGTCGCTAAAAATATTTTCTGTACAAAAAAAAAATAATAATAGCTTTTAAACCATGTACCTACGCAAATTATCGTGTTGGCAATAACCTAAAATAAAATATTGCTCAAACATAAATCAACGGCGCTGCTTAGCTAAAATAATACCTATATGGTAATGAAATATGATTTTCCAGATACCGGTTGAGTTATATTTGGATTGCGTATTACCAACATAAATAAATAAAAAAAAAATTATGAGACATTTTGGCAAACAATCTGACGGATTAGGTACCTGATGGAAAGCAATTATCTGGATGCGCCGCCCATGCACACCACTCGTAATATCTGCCAAAGGAGTTACAACAAGGACGTTGCCGAACTTTTGTGGGTTATAATGAATTTATGCTAGGAGGCTTTGGGGATTGAGGATGGAGGGGGGAGGAGGAAGGGGGAGATTGCAATCGGGCGGCGCCACACATGGATACCTCTCGTAATATCTGCCAAAGAAGTTACTACAAGTACCTACGTTGCCGAACCTTTGTGGGTTATAAGGAATTTATGCTTAGGGGATTTGGGGATTGAGGGTGGAGGGGGGAGGAGGAAGGGGGAGATTGAAATCGGGCGGCGCCACACATTGATGCCTCTCGTAATATCTGCCAAAGGAGTTACTACAAGTACGTTGAAGAACTTTTGTGGGTTATAAGGAATTTATGCTTAGGGGATTTGGGGATTGAGGATGGAGATTGGGGAACTAAGTAAGAGATCGAAGTGTGGGAGAGCCATGCTTCGGCACGAATGGGTCGGCTCGACCGGAGTGATACCACGGCCTCACAGAAAACCGGCGTCAAATAACCACTGCGTTGTGTTTCGCCGTGTGAGTAAGGTTACCGGAGGCCCAATCCTTCCCCTTCCCCAATCCCTCCTCAATCCCTAAATCTCCAAATCCCTAATCCCTAAAAGGTAGGCAACGCACTCGTAACTCGTCCGTTGCGAGTGTCCATGGGCGGCGCTGATTGCTTACCATCAGGTAATGCGTCTGCTCGTTTGCCGACCTATAACATAAAAAAAAAAAAGATATGTGACCGCCTAGGTAATCGTTTGAGCATGTGCGACTACCAGGCAAGGGTTCCCAGTAACTGCATCGTTTGACCGCACCGATTCCCTCACGGAACAACTATTTGTGTGATCCACAAATTGTTGTTCCGGGTCTGGATGTCATGTGTATGTGAAATTGTATATGACACAAAAGAAAAACCTATTGTGGGGACAATGTTTTAAATAACGATTCCCATATTGGTCTAAGTATTATAAATATCAAAATAATTTCGTTTTTACGAGAAATATATAGATAGTTTACGTATTGTATAAGGCTCACCTTTATATGAGACAATAACATATGTAATTGCTGAAAAGTGGGAATATTTCTGATCACCCCTTTGGGGGTAAAACGCTTGCCGGTGTAAAAATTACATCTAAGTAATCAAGTAGCCGTACGTAGGTACCTACTTGTGTGAAAAAAATCGTATGTGACTAGTACGTAAATATTATTATGTGGAAATTAAAAAAAAACAGTTTAAAATTTCTAGATTCCAGTCACTCAGATTTCTATGGTCTTCGGTATATTGTATCTCTCTCCGATCCATGCTTACAATTTGATCACATATTAAAGGCGTGATATCCAAAATGAAAGAATAAGAAACATATCTCTTTCTTCTTCTAAAATTTAATATTCGTACACAATAAAATTTTATGCATACCCGTTATTTATAAATAAAAACAAATGAAATGCTGCTACAGCAATTCTATAATTTAAAATTATTTAAAAATAGATATAACAATAATAAATAAATTTTTATTTGGTTATTTTATGACTTCGTAAATTATATTCGTTGGTTTATTTAGTGGGATATTTTATGGGGTGGGTTTGCCCATAGACTGTAGGTATTACTCAGGGTGAGTGTACCTTTATAATGGTGAAAGAATGTGTGAGAGCCATGATTTGTCATGAATGGGCCGGCTCTATCGGAGAGATACCAAGGCCTCGCAGAAAACTGGCGTGAAATCACAGCGTTGTGTAAAGTTACCGGAGACCCAATTCCTCCCCACCTCCATCTCTCCCAAATCGCGAAATCAACCAAACCCCTTATCCCCAAAAGGCTGGCCCCCAAAGCACTTGCAACTGAACCACAGTTATTCGAAAGCTTGCTTCCCGCTGCATAATTTAAAAAAATAATTTATATGGGCTTAGTAGTTTTTGAGTTTATTTGCTACAAATACACACAGACAAACCAAAGTACAAATTTTCCCACTTTATAATAAGTATAAGTGTAGATAGACATAGATTATCTACTGACAATTAACTTTTTCATACGTCGGCGTCGTCTGGCGTCTTTTAAAACAAATTAGAAGGTCGTCGCTAAAAATATTTTCTGTACAAAAAAAAATAATAATAGCTTTTAAACCATGTACCTACGCAAATTATCGTGTTGGCAATAACCTAAAATAAAATATTGCTCAAACATAAATCAACGGCGCTGCTTAGCTAAAATAATACCTA